GCGATGCCAAGCCTGGCGGCGGCGGGCTCGTGGCCCCGCCGCGGCCCCGCGGGCGAGCCCACCAGCAGGGCGGCAAAGGAGCCGCCGGGAGGCCCTGGGGCGGGGGCAGCGGCCGCCGCGGGCCTGCGGCCGGGCTCCGCGCGCGGGCTCACCTTGAGGGCGTCGCTTCGCGGGGGGGCGGTCGGATTCTAATACATAGGATGTTTAATACATGGGATTTTGAATCCATGATTCGGATTTTTAATGCATCGGATTTTAATACATAGGATTTTAACACATAGATTTTTAATGCATAGGATTCGTGGGGCTTCATGGGCAATTCTTAATACATGGGATGTTTAAACTATAAGATTTTAATACATGATTAATGTACGAGCAAATGTATGCATGAGCTCATCCTTGTTCTCAATACTAAATCCCTGCATTTGTTATTGTTGGAAAGATATGGGATTTAAAAGACATGATGAATGTATGCATCAATCTACGCATGAACTCCTCGTCGTTCTTAATACTATAAATCCCTGCATTTTCAATACGTGATCCGCACGCGGGGCACGTATCCAACACGGCACGGCAGTTGCGGGCGGCAGCCCGGTCGGTGCAGGCCTCGGGCCCTCGCGAGGCGCCCTCTCGAGCACCCGTAGAAGGGCCCTTGGCAGGGGCCCTATTAAAGGGCCCCTTTGCGGCAGCCCTCGCTGCGCCCTCCCATGGACCGCCCCCCCCCACTAATTACTAGGGGGCCACATGCGAACCCTACCCCTGCCCCCCACGACTTCTGAGGGTGAGGGTGGGGTTCTCTTCGCTCGGGGGGGGCAGGGGTAGGGTTCGCATGTGGCCCCCTAACTACGCGACGCCCTCCTAGATGGGGGCCGAGTGGATGGGGTCCGAGGATCGTGCCGCATCGCCGATGCCTCGGCGATGCATCGCCGATGCCTCGGCGACGCCGACGAGAAGCAATTTCGGGCTCCGCGTCGAGCAGCATCGCCGATGCATCGGCGATGCGGCGCGATCCTCCGACCCCATCTGCTCGGACCCCATCTGGAAGGCCTAAGCTTTGGACGCCCGAAATGGGTACCGAAAGAATGGGTACAATGCCCAGCAACAAATGTTGCCCCAAACCAACAGCGGCCGCTGTTGGGCAGGCGGCATCCTGTCTCCAATGGACACAGGCCGCGGCGGCGTGGACAGCGAGTCCTGTTCAAAATGAACAGGAACTGCTGTTGGGCATTGTACCCATTCTCTCCGTGCCCATTTCGCTCGTGCAGATAAGCGCAAAATCACCCCATCTGCTCCGACCCCATCTGCTCGGACCCCATCTGGGAGGCCTCCTTCTCCTCCTCCTCCTCCTCCTTATCCTCCTCTTCCTCCTCCTCCTCCTCCTCCTCCTCCTCCTCCTCCTCCTAAGCGCAGAATCACCAGAGTCGACGCCCGGGCCCTGGCGGCGTCCGGCCGCCTCGCGGGCCCGCCGCCCGCGGAGGCGGGCCGCCGCACGCCCTGGGGGGGGGCGGCGGCGCCGCCCGGCGCCGCCCCCGCGAGGCCGAGGCCGCGCATGGCGATGGAGGCCCCCTTCTGCGGGGAGACGTAAGTTTGAAGGGAAGCTGGGACACACAAATAAATACACACAAATAAAAAGATTCCCCATATTTTCCCATATTTTCTGGGTTTTTGTCTTCCCCACCACTTCCCATATTTTCCCATATTTTCCTGGGGATCGACGATTAATTGTGTCTGTGTGTTTTTTCCCCTCCTGAGTAAGTTAGCGGGCGAAGACCGGTATAAAATACACTTTTTCGCTGTCGGGGGCGCCTGTCCCAGGGCGGCTGGAGAATGTATACCCTGACGGTGGCACCGTGTGGGTATACACTTTCCAGCCGCCCAGGGACAGGCGCCCCCGACAGCGGAGAAGTTTATTTTATACAGTTCTTCGCCCGCTGAATAAGACTCGGGCAAGGGGGACTCGGGTTGGCCTGACGAGGCCATCATGAAAATGACGAGGCCCGATCTGAAACTTGACGCGACCTCCCGCTGCAGACACCCCACGGACAACTGGACCGTCAAAATCCAGGACGCGCTCGTCAAAAAAAGTCGGCAAACCCCGGTTCCGGCTTACTCGGGTCTTGCGTTTCCCTGACCTTCGTCACCTGGGCGACGGAAAGAAACCAAGACCCTCTCGCGCTGCGACAAAGATCACGACGGGAGGTTTCTCACTAGTGAAAATCCTCCCGTCGTGAAAAAACTAGTTTCACGACGGGAGGGTTTTTCACGGGAGGTTTTTCACTAGTTAAAAACCTCCCGTGAGGGACCGGAGAGGCCGAAAATATATATTTTCGGCCTCTCCGGTCCCTCGCAGGACCCCGGGACCGTCAATAAACGACTCAGGGTCGGTCTGGACCTCTGGGGGTCGACGATGTGGAAAAATCACGACGTCGGGGGTCTGGGAACGGATCTTACGCGAGATGGCATAGCGACCTCACGCGGCGGCTTACGCAGGCCGCCAGCGCGGCACACAGCGTGGAGAAGCGGGCGCTCACGCGCGACCTTGCGCGGGCAGCTTGCACGCCAAAGTCGGCGAATACGACACCACACAGCAGGTTCGTGTCGTGCCGACCTCGGCGTTGGTTTCTGACACTGCGGGGATCGTTGAACCTTGAACGATCGATCGTTTGCGAGACGTCGGATCGTTCAACGTCGACCGATCTGGGTGGCCGGCGGCGTTCAACATTGAACGCCGGCGGCGGGGTCGCCGCCGGTCGACACGACGCGAACCTGCCGTACCCCGCTCTTTTTCGGGGATCTTCTGACCCGGGTCAATCCAGACCCAGGTCAGTCAGGCCTTACAATATCCTGCAAAGTCCCGCAAGATCCTGCACCCAAGCCCGGGTCAATGCGACCCTGGCCCTGCAGGATCTTGCAAGATCCGGCGCTCTGGCTGACCCCCGTTTGCAGTCACCCCCCCGTCTCTTGTACAAGAGCGCGTTCCACTACTCGCAAAGTGAGTGCTCGCACATGGCCTGGATCCGCCGCGAGGGATCTACGATAAATCTCATCGACGCAAGCAGATGTTTTCTTTTCCGGACGTTCGCGAGTAGGCACTTTGAGGGGGCCCAGGGACACACAAATAAATACACAGACATCGAAGGAATCCCTATATTTTTCAATCTTTTCTGGGATCCGTCCTCCCCCCCACTTCCCGCTTTTTCCCGTATGTTCGGGGGAATCGGCGACGAATTGTGTCTGTGTGTATTTTTCCCTCCTAAACTTTGCGAGCAGGTGAGCGCGCTTGTCGGCTACACGTAAGAGTGACCCTGGGTAAGAGTGACCTTTGGTGCGGGGCTTTGGGGGGGCCGCGGGGAGGCCACCTCTGGGCGCGCTGGCCGCTGCTGCCGCTTCGCGTTCGGCCAGCTGGGGGCCCATCAGTGCCCGCACCAAAGGTCACTCCGGCGAAAGGTCACTCGAGCGCCCGAGTTATCCGGGGTAACTCGGGTCCGGGGTAACTCGGGTTTGGATTCCCGAAAAAGGAACCCGAGTTAGCCCTGACCCGAGTTACCCCTGATGATTCGGGGCTCTGGGCGCCCGAATTATCCGGGGCAACTCGGGCCCGGGGCAACGCGGGTTCGGGCTCCGAAAAGCGAGCCCGAGTTAGCCCTGACCCGAGCTACCCCTGATGATGCGGGGCTCCATCTGCTCGGACCCCATCTGCCCCGACCCCATCTGCTCGGACCCCATCTGGGAGGCCTCCTCCTCCCCTCCTCCTCCTCCTCCTCCTCCTCCTCCTCCCTCCTCCTCCTCCTCCTCCCCCCCCCTCCTCCTCCTCCTCCTCCTCCTCCTCCTCCTCCTCCTCCTCCTCCTCCTCCTCCTCCTCCTCCTCCTAAGCGCTAGTCGAGCTTGGCGATCCCGCGCCCCGACTTCGTGCGCCGACCTGCGCCGCCGGGCGCCCGCGCGGCGGCGCGCCGGGGCCGCCCTGCTGGAGCGCGGCCTGCGGCGCGGCGCCGGGCGCGGCCGCCTGCGGCCAGGCCCCCAGCCCGGCCGCGGTGCCCTCGCAGGGGGGCAGACGGAAGGGGCCCCAGGACACACGAAGAGATACACACAAGTTAAAAAAGATTCCCCCTATATTCGCCCATGTTTTCCCTCTATTTTCCCATATATTTTCGGGGTTTCTGGCTTCCCCCCCTCACTTCCCGTATTTTCCCATGTTTTCTGGGAAGGCGACGATGGATTGTGTCTGTGTGTTTTTTCCCTTCCTGACAGACAACGGCACAGGCACAAACTCGTCTCGCGTTCCGGCCCGCTTCTCGGGCCGAACGGAAAAGGGGGGGATAGGGAAGGGGGGTGGTACGAAATCTGCTGCGTGCAGCTGGTTTCGGCCCCGCCGCAAGGCCCGTTCCTCGATACGTGGGCGCCTCCCGGCGCCAGGAGGCGCTGGGAACATCAGCTACGTGGGCTGATTCTCTACCCTACCCTTTGCTATCCCCCCCTTCCCCCGAATTTCTGCCCCTTGCCTGACCCGCTTTTCTCTGTCGGCCCGTCCCTTAGTCTGTATACGAGTCGCGGTGCCCGCGCTGCCACGCAGGCGAATAACCGGGCATGGATGGGCGGGGCGTTCGTTGGGCGCGGAGCGACAGGTCCAACACTAACTTTAGACGGTCCACGCGGATTTCTTGGTTCTGCGCCGGACCCCACCCCCCTGGCGCGCGGAGCGCGCCAAGGGCGGCGCAGGAGGCGCCGCTGGGGGCAGCGCAGATGCAAGAAACTCGAAAGCTGGGCGAGGACTGGCAAATCCGTGGCTGCCAAAACGGTCTTCCTGGAAGAAAAAAGCAAACTCCCCGAGTATAACTCGGCGCACCGAATAATTAGTAAACGGGCTGCTTCCCGGAAAGAAGAAATCACTATCCCGGAGGCCCCTTTTAGCAGCCACAGGGTTTGCCAGCCTTCGCCTGGCTTCTGAGAAGCCCGCGCGGGGCGCCAAGAGTTTATGCCTGTGCAGTTCTCTCTTCTGCGACCTCGGCGTCCGCCCGCCGCAGAGCGGGCTCGGTCGAGGCGCTGCGCAGCTGCCGCGCAGCGGCGCCGCGCGGCGCCGCCGGGGCGGCGCGGGCGGTCGCCTGGCGGGGGGCGCAGGCCCCGAGCCGTGCCGACTCGAGGCAGTCACCGAGAGCGTCGTCGTCATCGTCGTCGTGGTCGTGTTCGCCGTCGTCGTCGTCCTTACTCAGAGAGGAGGGCCGTGCGATCTGGAAGCCTCCGAGGGGGCCCGGCGGGCGCCGGGGCGCGCCGAGGGGCCGCGGCCGGGCCGGCTGTCCGAGTCTCCACCCCCGCGGGGCTTCCTGGCCCCTGCAGGGCCGTGAAGCGAGAGCGGCTCGGGGCGCCAGGGGGCCCTGCGCGGCCGAAGGCGGGGGCAGCGAGCCGCCGGAGGTCTCGGCTCACGGGGGCTGTGCACAGGGACGGCCCAGGCGGCACGCTGGTCGGAGAAGACCGGCGGCACGTTCCATGGGCGCACAGCGCGGTCATCCTCGCGCCTCCATGGGTGGCCCACCAGTACAGTACGGGTGCGCGAGGAGGATGCAAAGGGCCTTGGACGCCCATTTCGAAGCTTCGTCGAGCGGGGCGCGGCCAACGAACGTGGCCAAGGATGGACCGAGGAGGCAAGGATGCAGGGGTTCCCTTGGGAAGGTTGCCCATCCCTACTGTGCGGGTTGACTGTAGGTTTATGATGCTCCCGCCGTACTTACGGACCACAGCAAACGAACATCGAGCATCCAGAAAAGTATCGAGGCAATGTCAAACGAGTATCGCCTCCCAGGGACCGACACGTGAAAAAAGTCCAGTTTCGGTACTTTCCAGGTGCTCGAAGTTCTGCCTGGTAATCAAGGACCATAAGGATAGGGGGCAGTCGTGACTCGTTTCGGATCCCCGTGGCCATCGCGATGCAACAGGGATGGCACTTGGGTGTCCCAGCGGGAGCCGCCAGGCTGGTGTGACACTGGTCCGTTCGCGCCCCGATGGTCGGTCACGCAGAATGGCCGTTTAGGCGGGAGGAAACGTGTCTCTTTTCAGAACCCCATGATCATCGCGGTGTAACAAGCATGGCGGCATGGCACTCGGGTATTCCAAGAGGGAGCCGCCAGGGGTGGCATAGGTCCGTCAGCGCCAAAATGGCCGGGACCTCTCAGGCAGAACGGCCGTCTTGGAGTAGACGTGTCTCTTCTCAGAGCCTCATGCTCATCGCGATGTAGCGTGCATGGAGATTGGGCATCCAAAAGGGGATCCGCAAGAGGGTGTGACACCGATCCGTTCGTGTTGACTTGTGGGACCCTCTTTGGCTAAACGCAGTAGGCGAATCTAACTTTAATGCCCCTTGGCCACCGCGAATCTATAGGCATGGCTTTTGATGAGCATAAGAATGGGGGCCCTCCAAGAGAGGCCCACTCATAAGGACTCACTTACATTCAGACCCATTGGTACTCGGTCGCTCAGACAAGTCAATATCCCGACAATCATAGGAGAGGAAGTCGTCAGAACCCCACAGAAGCCCTCTGGGCGAAGGTGGTCTAACGATACTCATGTGCCTTGTTGTTATTTTTCTTATTCTTATTCGTATTATATGTGTTATGTTTCTTTCCTCTTCCAATACCCTCTTCTCTTCGGGGAAGGCCCCCCTCCTCTCACTGTGTCCGCCGAAGATGGCTCCAACAAGGCCTCCGATGCTGCAATGTAGCCTCCAACATGGACCCATATAGCTCAAGATAAAGATAGTGAAAGCTGGCCCCCACCGTGCCTCCAAGAGGCCCCCCAAGAGGGTTGCACCATGGCGCCAGATGCTCCGGGAGCCCCCCAAAAGGACCCCCCGCGATACCCACATCTTCAAGACACTCAAGGAGTATTGTCGGGGCATTGACCTACGGAACCCTCAATAAGGAGCGAGGCTCCTTTCCCCCATCAATTAAATTAAAGTTCGACATCCGATCGAAAACCGGAGGAACACCCGAGGCAAGCTGTGAAACACTCCAGGAACGCGGAGCCCCTCCCCAACCAAGAGGGTTCCTTCTTCAGGGCCCCGACTGTATACTCAACATGGGGGAAGCGGGCCCCGAGGAGGAGGAGGAGGAGGAGGAGGAGGAGAAGGAGGAGGAGGAGGAATAGGAGGAGAAGGAGGAGGAGGAGGAGGAGGAAGAGAAGGAGGAGGAGGAGGAGGAGGAGGAGGAGGAGGAGGGTCCTGACAGCTGGGCCCCCCCCCCCTTGGACGAGAGATCTTCGGCCCGAGTCGTCTTTTCTGACAATCTCCCTGGGCGGGCCCGTGGAGGGCCGCGGGGAGCCAAGAGAGTGGCGAGCAAAACCTCCGAGCCCGTCTCCCTCCCTCCTTTTTTTATCCCCCTCCTCGTCCTCCTCCTCCCCGTCCTCCCCCCCCCCTCCGTGTCCTCCTGGAATTCCTGCCCCTCCTCCTCCTCTCCTCCTCCGCCTCCTCCTTCCTCGACGGACAGCCCCCGCCCCCTCCTCCTCCGCCTCCGCCCTCCCTCCTCCCTCCCTCCCTCCCTCCCCTCCCCCTCCCCCTCCCTCCCCCTCCCCCTCCCCTCCCCTCCTCCTCCTCCTCCTCCTCCTCCTCCTCCTCCCCCTCCCCCTCCCCCTCCTCCTCCTCCTCCTCCTCCTCCTCCTCCTCCTCCTCCTCCTCCTCCTCCTCCTCCTCCTCCTCCTCCTCCTCCCCCGCCGTTTCCCGCATGGCGAAAGATGCATGCGTTTCTCTCTTCGCCGATGTTTTTCGGACTGGACTTCTGAAGTCCGAGTGTGGGCCCACGACGGCCCGGCCCCCGAGGGCCCCCAGGAGAGGCCCAAGGGGCCCCAGACGCCGCCCCAAGAGCGCCCCAAGAGGGCCCCAGGAGACGATCGTCGTGGCTCCCGAGGGGCAAATTTAGGACCACCCCTTTTCTGATCGACGCCCTCAAAGATGGCCCCAAGAGGCCCTCTAGGGCTGCAAAGAGGCCTCCAAGAGAGCCCCAGGACCCTCACCAAGAGTCCCAAGAGGACCCCAAGAACCTCCAGAATAGCCTCAAGAGGGCCCCATGAGGGCCGCGAGAGAACCCCAAGACGACCCTAAGAGGGCCGCGAGAGAGCCCAAGATGGCTGCCAGAGTGGTCGTCCTACTCCGCCTCGTCCTCCTCCTCCTCCTCCTCCTGCTCATCTTCGTCCTCCTGTTCCTCGCCCTCCTCCTCATCCTCCTCGTCGTGTTCCTTCTCGTCCTCCTCCCAATCCTCCTCGTCCTCCTCCTTGTTCTCCTTCTCGTGCCCGTCCTCCTCCTCCCTCATCCTCCTCCTCCCTCCTACTCCTCTCCTCCTCCTCCTCCTCCTCCTCCTCCTCCTCCTCGTCTTCCTCCTCGCTCTCGTCCTCATCCTGTGTCTGCTCAGGCTGACCCCTGGTATGCCCCAGGCTGACCGCAGTGTAGAATCGTTGATTTTACACTGCGCTTGTCGAGGCAACTCGCCTGGGCAGCGTTGCTGGATTGGCTGGTGGGGATACGATACGGGAAGCGTCAAGAGTACCTGTGCGTATATGGATATACGCGTACACACCTATGCAGGGGCAAGCCCTGGAACAACCCTGGCCCACGCCCACCGGCGTCGCTGCGACGGACAGATGCGGCAGCTCGACCGGACAGAATAGGCCCCGCCGCAGGAGGACAAGCAGAGTCAATCCTCCCCTTCCTCGGCCTCCTCGTGGCCCCCCGCTGCCTCTCCTCCGCCCTTCTCCGCCCTCCCTCCGCCAACTCATCGTCCTACTGCCTCGTCCTCCCCCTGGCAACCCGCGCCCCACCCGTCGACGCCGTGAGAGTGCTCTGGGCGACGAGGGTGTCCAGCGAGAAGGCGTTCCTCAGGCGCGGCTCCTGAGAAGGGAGACGAGTGGGAGGGGGGAGGGAGGACAATGAACAACGAGAAGGAGGAAGAAGAAGAAGAAGAAGAATAAGAAGAAGAAGAAGAGGAGGGCAAGGGGGTGGGTATAGGGACGGGAGGCACGCGATACGTAAGAGGCCTGGGAGTCGGCTCATCTCTCGCGCGCTTCGTGTCCCAACTATACCCTGAAACATTCAACGGGCAACTGGGAGGCCCAACAAAGAAGCCCGACAACACATAAGAAACCATCAAGATGCTCTAAGATCACCTCGCGGAATATCCCAGAGAAGCGAACATTGTTACTTGTGCAACCGATCCCCCCAACGGCGCCCACACGTACAAATACAAAGCGTCGCGCTTCCTGGCCAACGAACAACCAACACAAATGACCCACCTCCTCGTCGCCCATCTTGCTGATTGCTTGTTAAGTCTCTTCCTGCCTCTCCCTCCGCTCGGTTTATCTTTCTGTTGGTATGTTGCGCCTCTTCCCCCTCTTCCTGCTACTTGTGAGCAGCATCCTTGGCAGTCGTTGTATAGTACATCATTGTATTGCGGTCGAAGGCGGACGCGCTCTGGAGCATGCGCACATCATATACTGAATTGCCAATATCACACGCGCGGCGCCGAGCTAAAACAAATCGTGCCCCATGGGCCCCCAGAGGCTTCCAGCTGGCCCCTCAAAACGAAGCGATGGAGCCGCAGTTCGGCACGCCCCTGAAAGCAATTTACTATTCGCGGCGATAACGTGCACTATGGAGGGGGGAGGGTGGGGCGGGCATAACACCACAGCGCCTGTGCGCACCACAGCGTGCACCACAGTGCGCACCATGACATGCACCGCCGTACCCGCGTGCACCACGGCGCCTGCGTACACCGCCACGCCTGCGTGCACCACAGTGCCCTCGTGTATCACAACCCAGCAGCAGTAGCCGTGCTCACCAGAGCGCCTGTGTGCGCCGCAGTGCTTTAAAAGAGGAATTGAGGATGAGGAGGAGGAGGAGGACGAGGAGGAGGAGCAGGAGGAGGAGGAAGAGGAGGAGGAAGAGGAGAGGAGGAGAGGAGGCACTCCAGTTGTGGAGTTGTGCTCTGGGAGGGGCCTGGGCGCCCCCTCGGCCCAGTGGAGGCGGCGGACGACAGTGGTGCCTGCAAGCACGCACGCCACTCGTGAGCAACTGTAAGAACACGACAGTACGTCTGACGACCAGACGACGACGACCGCAGCGAAGATCACGACTTAGACGACGATAGCGACGACTACGGCAGTCACGAAGACGATCACAACGAGGACCACACGCCCCCTATACGGCGCCTATCACTGCGGCTAAAACGAATACGACGACCACGAGGATTACGACGACGGCGTTTACGACAATCACAACGACGATCATCATGACCACAAGACGACGACCACGACGACTATTATGACGAGTACGCCCACCCGGGCCCCTCCACCCTCCCTCGTCGTCCCCCTGATACCACTGCTACTGATACTGCCATTGCCACTATCTCCGCCACCACTACCACTGCTACAACTGTTGGCATCGTGCGAACTCCGCGCGCGTGCGCGCAAAAACATGCCGGGCCCTGCAGGTTAAAGAAACATAGCCCTGCGAGTTCGAGAACGGGCTGCGAGCCTGTGAAAGGCCACACTATAGCACGCGAACGTCATACTTTTAATAGCTTGCGAGCACCAGGAGCAGCCTGCGAGCACCACAATAGCCCACGGCCTTCAAGCGGCGCCACGATGGCCTGCTGATGTTTGCTGGACGACGAGGGCGCCCGAGCGCCGACTACGACGACAATAACGACGACGACGACGACGACGACGAGGACGAGGACGGGGACGAGAACGGGGACGGGGACGACGACGACGACGACGACGACGACGACGGCGGCGACGACAACGATGAGGACGAGGACAAGGACGAGGACCAGGACGAGTACGAGGACGAGGACCAGGACGAGGACAAGGACGACGGCGATAACGACGACGACGACGAGGACAACGACGACGATGACGGCGACGACGGACAATGACGGACGACGACGGAGATTTCTGGAGACCTCTGGAAGCATTTAGAGGATCTTCCAGGCCCTGGGCGACAACGACGAGGACGAGGACGAGCACGGCGACAGGGACGAGAAGAGGACGGGGATGAGGACGAGGACGACGATGACGACGAGGACGACGACGACGACGAAGACGAAGACGAGGACGACGGCCGCCTCTGAAGGTCTGCAGAGGTCTCCAGAGGCTTACGGAGGTTTCCGGAGACCAGTGGAGGCGTCTGGATGCCCTTCGAGGCCCTCGACGACGACGAGGACGAGGACGAGGACGAGAACGAGGATGGGGACGACGACGACGACGACGATGAGGACGACGACAAGGACGACGAGGACGAGGACGAGGACGAGGACGAGGACGAGGACGACGAGGACGAGGACGAGGACGAGGACGACGAGGACGACGACGACGGCGGCCGCCTCTGAAGGTCTCTTGAGGTCTCTGGAGGCCCTAGGAGGTCTCCAGAGACCTCTAGAGGCGTGTGGAGGCCCCTCGAGGCCCTCGGCGACGACGATGACGACGACGACAGGGACGAGGACGGTAACGGGGACGAAGACGACGATGTCGAGGACTAAAGCGACGACGACGATGACGGCGACTGAACCGACGACGACGACAACGACGACGACGGCGACAACGACGACGAAAACAAAAACAACGACGACAACGACGACAAGCACAACAATAGCCTGTGAGCATCACAGTGGCAGTGCCGGAGGCGCACAACGGGGGAGAGGGGGGGGGAGCATTGCGTTATGGGGGGGGAGGGTTTGGAGTCCCGCAACGGTGCGGTGACAGACCGTGCGGTGACCTCGAAACCCCCAAAGACCTCACCGCACGGTCCGTCACCGCACGGTCTTGGGACCCCAGAGGCCCCTGTCGCCCGAGACGTCCTCGGAGAGGGACTCGAGTCCCAAAACCGTGCGTTGACCCCGAATCCCCACCGACTCACCGCACGGTGTGGTCACCGCACCGTTTGGGGGCCCCCGAGGGGGGGCGTACCGCGCGTTCTGCCCCCAGAATGTTGGAAAGAACGCTCCAAGCGCTAAGACCGCACTCTGCTTCGAGACCTGTGCTGCACTGCGGCAGTGCTGGAGGCGCACTGGGGGAGGGGCGTGACGCTGTGGGGGAGGGGAGGGGAGGGGGGAAAGAGGGAGGGGCATACCGTCCGCTATGGCCCGGACGGTTAAGACGATCTCTCACGCACCTCGTGCCTCATTGACCTCCCAGGGCTCTCAGGAAGATGGATTCCAAGGCCTTCAGGCCCCCCCAGGGGAAGCCAAGATGGCCCAACGAAGAAGTGCAACGACCAGTACCGCCTCCTGTGGAAGCCACACCGCTGACAAACTCACTGATTGCCGAAAGACTTCCCCCTGGTGCACGGTTTCCCCCAGGGCGTAGGCGACCCGAGGAGGAAGAGGAGGAGGTGGAGGTGGAGGAGGGAGAGGAATAGAGGGAGGATGAGGAGGAGGAGGAGGAGGAGTAGGAGGAGGAGGCGGACGGGTCGCCTGAGCCCTTCGGAGAAACCCTAGAACCGACTCATGTCGAAGCCACACCGCTGACAAACTCCCCGATTACCGAAGGACTTCCCCCTGGAGGCCCAGCGCGACTCCCGCTCTGCGGGCTGCAGATGATTCTGCCTCGCCCATGGCCAGCGGAAGCAGGTGAGGGCCAAGCTTAGGTCGGGCCTGTCCCTCCACAGGGGGACCTTGGGCGAAAAATTGAGGATATTTTTGTTTACAAAAAATAAAGATCTCATAAAATACTAAAAAACTAAAAGAAACGTCCCGGTACTGATCTGGACTATTTTTGAATATTCCGCCTGTAGAGGGACGTGCCCGACTTGAGTGACTTAAGGCCAAGCAGTGAACGAACCCAAACTTGTATGGAAGTGGTGACCATCTGGAACAACTGGACGACCGAATGATCAGGGCGCCTGCATGTGGAGGCCAGCAGGTAGCAGGAAGGCAACAGGGTCGATCAAGCTGGCTCCAACGACTCCTCAGACACAAGGTGGCCAGCATGGCGACAGCGGTCGGCACGGAAGCAAAGCTTCGCAAGGAGCAACGCTCGGCTGCCGCTCGACGAGCTGGCCGATGACTTCACGGAGGGAAGATCTCCGAGAGGGGGGGGGGCCATGCTGCTTCAAAATGCAACTCCTGGGAAATAATTTCAACAGCCGCGCTGGTATAACTATCCGTTCCCGCCTATTCCAACATAATCTGGCTTAGTCCCCAGCTTAATCCAGTCGTGTTCTCTTGCACAGCTGTGTTCTAGAGATCGGACCTGTTTATATTCGTTGTTCGTTCGTTCGTTCGTGGCCTGCCCCCCCCCCCCCTGGACCCCTCCCCTGGCCTTACACTGACCCTTGACCCAGCCCCCTCGCATCCTCGCCAACTGATCGTGCAAGAGCCAGGGCACGCGTGCCACGTCCAGCTGAATCGCTCTGTCGAACCTTGGGTGGGACATGTCCTCCTACAAGCGGATTTCGGGCGAAAAACAAAACATATACTCAATATGTATTCAAAACATAAAGAAATAATCAAACAATCGTCCTCAAGCTATTTCCCTACCTAGGCTCTGGCTAGAAGGGTTCTTACTCGCTTTGTTTAAAGGGGCCGGGCAGTGGAAAGCGCCCCGGGCAGTTCCCCCAGTCCCCTGGGAGCTGTTCCCCCGGTCCCCTGGGAGCTTTAGCTTCAGCTTCAGCTTTAGCTTCAGCTTCAGCTTTAGCTTTATCTTTAGCTTTAGCTTTAGCTTAGCTTTAGCTTAGCGTTGCAGTTACTACTAATGCTGCTCTCCTAGGGGCTCCACCTCCTAGGTAGGGTCGCACTGGGATAATTTTGACTATTTTTGAATCTTCCTGTAGGGGACAAGCCCGACTTCAGTCTAAACGGACATTAAAATTCCCTTGGTCCTTTTCGTAAAGAACTCCCAGCAATTGCCTCCTAACGTGCAGCGGGTGGCCGTGACGCTTGTCGGGATTTCTTCTCGGTACATCGGCCCTCCCCCTGGCCCCTGGACCCGCCCTGCACGGACAGCGGGGCGCGGAGGATGAGGAGAGCTCGAAAGGGCACAAACTGGCGCTGAGGAGGAAGAGACAGGAGACTTGATGAAGACGAGGAGGAGGAG